GCAGAGCCCACCAGATGGCCCTTATCTTGAGCCAGCTAAACCGGGAATTTCTGCACAGGAATTTGGGGGAACATACTCTTTGTTCCTTATCTTGGATCCCATTTGGCCATTTGGGGAATTTATTTGTTAGCTCTTTATTAACGACTACAGAGCTTGTCCCAGGGCCGACACCTAGACTCCGAAGCTTTTTATTTATCTCCAGCGAGGGGAAGGGTCAGTGCTAGCGCAAGCAAGTTTACAGAAGCAAAACCAGCAGTTACCATTTGTAAAAATATAACTCTAATTTTTAATGTTTCAGTTTAGCTCTACTGACCTTTTGATCCTTTTTTTCTTTCCTTCTCATTCTTTTCACCTTTTCTTCTCTTTCCTTCTTCTTTGCATGACTTAATTACTGTTCTGCTAATCCTCAGATATTCCGATAGTCGATTATTAGACCTTATCCCCCACTGTGTACACACATAATCCAGAAAATAATTACTCAATTCATAACTTCTTAGATTTAAATTTCTTAATAGCAGTACTACCTCTATATACCTATATAATATTTTAAGCATTTTTATTTTTAATTTTTTCACATCTCTTTTCTAGACCTACCCTTCTCTTATCCTATCCACATTCTTCTCTGAGTATTACATTTTATATATGCATGATTTTAAGGGTTTCACTTTTTAATTTTTAATTTTTGTTTTCCTATTTTTTCTTGTCTCTTTTTCTCTCTTTCTCCTTCTTCTTTTCTCTCTCTCTACTATCATTCTATCCAACCTACTTCTTGCTTTGAGATTAGGACTTAGTTAAGTTAACTCTCCCATTGCCTTTCCACATCCCTTTATTCTTATTTTTACCCACATCTCTCCCTAAACCTAATAATTTTGGTTTGCCAAATTCTTCTTTGCAGTTCATAGGCCATTAATACATAGTTGCTTGATGTTGAATAGCTATATCTGTTGAACTAGATTGTATCTGCAGACTTTTGACTGTGTAACTACAGACTTTGGATGATGCTTGCCTTAATATAGTGTTCTAGCACAAAGGTGGTGTTACTTTAATCCCAAATGGGCAGGGAAAGCCAGAAAAACACAAGAAAAATGGCAAGTCCTGGTATCTCAACTCCCACTCATGATAATCAGGGGAGAGAACAGATAATGAATAATCCAGAGGAGAGTTCTCAGAAACCTCTACAATTACTACTGGTAATCATGGTAAATAAAAAGATTGAAAACATGTGAAGGAATCTGTATGAGCGTGATAGGGAGAGAGAGGAGGCAAACAAAGGTCAATACAGGAATATCATGAGCATGAGGAAGCTACTCAAAGATTGATACAGGAATTTCATGAGCACCTTGAGAACAATCAAAGAGAAATAAAGGAGTGGCGTGAGCAGGCTGAGATCAGTCAAAGAGATAGGAATTGAGGGAGCTGGCTGAGAACAGACAAAGAGAAAGTCGGGAATGGCTTGAGCAGGCTGAAAACACTCAAAGAGAATTACAGGAATCGCGTGAACATGAGAAAGCTAATCAAAGAGTAATACAGGAAGTGAGAGAGCAGGATGAGAATAGACAAAGATCACTAAAGGCATTCATGGAATCCATAAACAGAGAGCTGAAAGAAGTCAGGGAGACAACAAAGGGAATGCTGAATGGAACCCAACAGAAAGAATGGGAGTCCAAAGAACCATAACCAATCAACTAAGTGATTTGAGAATAAACACTGAACACCAAATTAAGAAAGTAAAGAAGCTCATACAAGATCTAAAACAAAGCTCCAACAAAGAATTTGAAGCAATCAAAGCTGAC